TGCCGCTTGCCGATTGAATAGGAATTTCTATCACATTACATGTGTCACAATGCCAGGATGTCTTTTATCAACAAAATTGTCCTTTTTGTCGATGCCCACTGTTAATGGTAATTATCACCCTCTGTACTTTTTTTTTCTTTTTTTTGCATTTCATTTCCTTCTTCTGGTCTCACTGTTTACAGCTTTACATTCCCCAAACAATGTATGCCTATCCATTCATTTGGAAAAACTCAGTGGAGCTCAGTGTGGACTATAGAAAAGGGGCTGATCTGTCGAGAAGGGACAAAAATATTGTCAAGCTGGAGTCTCCACGAGTGAAAGGAGCAGAAGACAAAGTAAAGTACAGGTATAAATATGAAGAAGATCTGCGGAAGGGACATGGAAGAGACTTAAGGGCCTCGGACATAAGGTTACCAGGTTAATGAACTAGATGGATGGGATAGAAAGGACTGACAAAACCCGAGACCAGGAGGAAGAGACGCTGGATGAAGATTGGAAGAAAGTTTTAAAAATTCTATTTAGGAATGTTTTGTAAAATTAATGAGTATTAGAAAAATGTTGGAACGAAATTATTTGTCTTTAGCAGAAATGTTAAAAAGAACTATGTAAGAATATGGTATGGCTATGAGAAATTGGTATAAATAAGATTTAAGTTTTAAGTTCTAGGGTTTTTTATGGTAAGATAAGGTTAAAATAGATTAAGGTAATTTAATGACAGAATATTATGAAAAATGGAAAGGATTTGCTGAGACAATTAACAACTAGAATACAAAAAAGGGAGGTGTGAGGAGGTCGATGAAATAAGGTAATGACAGTTAAGGATTTGAGAATACTGGATTTGTTTTTTAAAAAATTTTTTGTTTAATTCTACTTTTTGATTTTGATGTATTATGTGTTTTGCCTTTGCTTTTTGATTTTGACTTTTATCGATTTGTATTGTTTAATTGTTACCTGTTCTCTTTTTTTCTTCCTTTCTTCCTTGTTTGTCTTTGTAATCTTAAAACTTTCAATAAATATCATTTTTAAAAAAAAATAAACCACAGAGCCTAAGACTTGCTGATCAGAAGGTCAGCGGTTCGAATCCCCTCGATGGGGTGAGCTCCCATTGCTCGGTCCCAGCTCCTGCCCACCTAGCAGTTTGAAAGCACGTCTAAGTGCAAGTAGATAAATAGGTACTGCTCCGGCGGGAAGGTAAACGGCGTTTCCATGCGCTGCTCTGGTTCACTTAGTCATGCTGGCCACATGACCTGGAAGCTGTACGCCGGCTCCCTCGGCCAATAAAGCAAGATGAGCGCCGCAACCCCAGAGTCGGTCACGACTGGACCAAATGGTCAAGGGTACCTTTACCTTTATAGAGTTGCACCATATTATCCTCTCTTGTTGAAACTTTCTGTAGCGCTGGGGCATGCTATCAGTGTGCAGTGCAGAAGAGTGTCTTCATAAGCAAAAGGTGCGTTTGCAACTTGCCATCTCCTTTGATAATATTGTTTACGAATTTAAAAAGAGAAACTGCTCCATCGGCAGGATCGTAGTCCTATATTATCTGATCTTGGACCATGCATTATTGATTTCCACAATGTACAAAAAGAAAAGTATTAAAAGCCTTAGATAAAAATGTAAGGGATAAAAAAAATGCTTAAATTGCTTTTGAAATTTAAAATCAATTTTACATGCTCGCTTATGTAGGGTAAGCAAGATTTATCGAGTACTGGGCAGCATACTAAAATAGCATTTTATTCTATAGCAAAATGAAGATCCTTGGATGAAGGGATGGCTTTTAGTTCTGCCCTGTTCACACAGCAGGGGCAGCTACCTGTAGGGGAGGAAAATGACCCTGCTCATACGAGGGCCAACATTTTGAAAAGTCTTGGTGCAACTTCTGAGACCAGGACTTACTAGGGATGGGTAAGCCTGTTAACTTTGACTTCTACATTTCTCATTTCCCACCCTCTAAAGTTCAGTTCTCCAAATTTCCACACCAGTATGCAATTTGTTGTTGTTGTTTTAAAAAAACCAAGCCCACATTAAAATTTAGCAGTCTCTTTGCCACCTTTTTCTCAAAGAGCTCAATGTGATATATAGGGTCCCCTCCCCCATCATTAAATCCCTGCACTGTGAGGTTGGTTAGGCTGAGGGACAGTGGCTGGCCTATGGTCACCCAGTGAACTTTGAACCAGGTCCTAGTCCGATACTGGTGACTGGAAGTGGCCGCCGAGACCATATAACACTGGTCCTGAAAGACCTACATTGACTGCCAGTACGTTTCTAAACACAATTTAAATTGTTGGTACTCACCTTTAAAGCCCTAAATGGCCTCGGCCCAGTATGCCTGAAGGAGCATCTCCACCCACAATCGTTCCACCTGAACACTAAGGTCCAGCTCTGAGGGCCTTCTGGTGGTTCCCTCACTGTGAGAAGTGAAGCTACAGGGAACCAGGCGGTGGGGCTTCTCGGTGGTGGCATCTACCCTGTGGAATGCCCTCCCATCAGATGTCAAGGAAATAAACAACTATCTGACTTTTAGAAGACATCTGAAGGCAGCCCTGTTTAGGGAAGTTTTTAATGTTTGATGTTTTATCGTGTTTTTAATATCCTGTTGGAAGCCGCCCAGAGTGGCTGGGGAGGCCCGGCCAGATGGGTGGGGTATAAGTAATGATTTGTTGTTGTTGTTGTTGTTGTTGTTGTTGTTGTTCTTCTTCTTCTTCTTCTTCTTCTTCTTCTTCTTCTTCTTCTTCTTCTTCTTCTTCTTCTTCTTCGCACTTCAATGACACTGGCTCTTAATGTAGTGATAGCACCATGGGTCTCCAATTTATCCTGCTAATTGGAAACGCCTACAAGTCTTGAAAAGGCTTTCATGGGAAGAGTCCCTTTGTGACTTTTTTCTGGCAGTGCCCTGAGAGCTGCTGTATCAGGGACTATATACTACATAAGGTGGGCCTTATTAATATAGTCCTTATATGGTTGTATTCCTAGTCTGCCAGTGTTTATGACGGGGAGTTGGGTTGGCATGGACCCTAGTTGCTCCTCCACTGGTGAAGAAGAGTGCTACAGTGGAAGCCCTGAGCTTCACCCAGGTGCCAGGATCTTCTGCCAGTGAAAAGCCCCCCAGACCCTCCACCCTAAGGAACCCAATCCCCAGTCTGGAATTGGTGCGGCAAAAAGAAGCCCCTCACCCATCTTCATTGGTCAGAGTCAGCAGGGCTTCAGACGCAGCAGTGAATCTGCAATTCCTCAACTTCCCACCCCCTCTCTGACCATTGTAAATCTGTCTTCAAACCTCAGCTATGCACCTCTAGATTCTAGATTCCATTTCCATCCAGAATTAATATAAGCATTCACAGTTTTGCATGTTGGTTCTCAGGCTTCCTCCACCCCACCCAGCAAAACCTGCTACCTCTCTGCACAAATTCAGTTTAACAGCTTGCACAGATAATGTGGTGGGTTGGTGTTTTTTTAAAAACTGTCTTCTTTACGGAGGTTATAATTCAGGATGAAAACTCTGTTTTCCCCAGTCCACAGCTTCTGGGAGTCTGAGTGATTATGCATAAGAAGATCTTGCCTAGATTAGCATAATAGAAATTGCAACAATAGTTTTTTAACAGCTCATTTAGTAGCACTTTGATTTTGATTTTTTTTTTTTAGGGAAAAACAATCATTAATGATGCAGTGCTAGAATCCCAAATGCACACATGCTCAGAAATTAGGCTTGAAAGAGATCTGCCCAGGCTGAAAAAATATGTCTCGAATGATCCTCCTGTCTCATTCTCCCTTTGCTCTTGGTCACTCTATGGAATATGGAGATAACTCAGACTATAGATGCTACTGCTCCTAGGTATCATCTTCCACTTCACACAACCCTGCCAGCACTCTGGCATTCTTTAAAACTACAGAGATTCCACGGACAAGAAAAGTACGTTTCCAAGCACAATTCAAAGTGTTGGTGCTGAGCTTTAAAGCCCCAAACCGCCTTGGCCCAGTAAACCTGAAGGAGCATCTCCACCCCCATTGTTCAGCCCGGACACTGAGGTCCAGCACCGAGGACCTTCTGGCGGTTCCCTCACTGCAAGAAGAAAAGTTATAGGGAACCAGGCAGAGGGCTTTCTTGGTTGGGGCGCCCACCCTGTGGAACGCCCTTCCATCAGATGTCAGGGAAATAAACAACTATCTGACTTTTAGAAGACATCTGAAGGCAGCCCTGTTTAGGGAAGTTTTTAATGTCTGATGTTTTATTGTGTTTTTAATATCCTGTTGGAAGCCACCCAGAGTGGCTGGGGAGGACTGGCCAGATTATTATTATTATTATTATTATTATTATTATTATTATTATTAACAGAAGCAGGAAAGAAAAATTCACAAAAGAGGAGGAAGAAACATCTGCTCTTTGGGTCCCCAGGGATTCCTAAAGCCTGCAGTCCAAATAACTCTCTCATCAGTCACAGTCTTCGTTTCACTCATTTGCTAAAAACACTGAAAGGTGGGATTAGCCAGGCTGCCTTATCTCACAGCAGGGTGCCTGCACATTTTGTTTTATAATTGTCCTTCTAGTAGAGCCAGAGGCTTTTTTTATGTAATGAAAATTCAGGGCCTCTTGCACCCATGGGTTGTGGTCCAATTCCACCATTTTCACCATTATAAATTAAACCACGTCTGTAGGGAAGGATGCTTAAGAAAGCATTGGCATTGAGCTGGGAGGGTTTATGTTTTCCATAGCACACCAGAAGCAGTGGATAGGAGACATTCTTACATAGTAAAATATTATTCAAATGTAGGATTATATGGGCTTTTTAGCCTCGCAAGAATCTCTTCAAGAGATGCACTGAACATAGAATTACCAACTGCTGGTTTGAGAGCCTGGGCTACAAAAATCCTGCTTTCCCTTCCTAATACATAAATCATAGCAGAACTGACAGTTTCAATGCAATGATGATGTAACAGCAGGCTCCTAGGTATAGATACCATGGTGATAAGCCCTACAGGCCTATAACTAACCACTCACCTGTGGTGAGTGACAGTTGCAAAGAGGTGACCAGCCAGGGAAACTTTTGCAAATAGGAGATAAGAGGTGTTGGTTGGGTTCGAACAGCTAAGCTAGTGATATGTGGACATGTAGGCTGGTCACCTTTGTAAGCCTATTTTTAAGGCTGTAGTCAAGAATTCTCCAGGTAAGAGGGATTAAATATCAGTTCTCTGCAGGAATGCATAAGCAGCATAAACTTTGAGGTTCCTTTCTGTGTAAAGAATGCCTTATTCCTCCAGAACAGGAATATTTTATTTCCACATCTGTCTTCACGAAATGTTGCATTTCATATGATTGAGGGAGCTGTGGTTGGAGGAAAGATATAGAGAACTGAGGGGAAAGTAGAAAGGGAATGAAATTCTGTTTGAACAGAGTTGTGTGCTTTGTTTTTTTGTTTTGTTTTCGGAAGCTGCATGTAAAATGGAAATGAATCAGAAAAAGAGGAGGGGGAATAGGGAAACTGTGACCCCCCCCCCAGAAACCTTTACGTAGTTTACAACTCCCATCAGCCACAGCCAGTATGACCAGTGGTTTGGGATGATGGGAGTTGTAATCTAGCAGCAACTGGAGGGCTGAACGGGAGTCTGGACATGGCTGTCCCAGTAGGGCTGGGGCCCAGTAAGAGAACTGAGAGTACAATTTTCTGACTTGATCCACACTATTGGTTGCATACACATAGACCTTTAAAAATTGGTGTGTGTGGGTATGTAGTAAGTAGGGATAGGCACATCTGTTAATTTCACTTCTCCCACATTTCCAATTTTAAATTCAGCGCTCTATATTTCTGTAACAATTTGTTATTTTGTCTTTTTAAAATTATCATGAAAATCCATCAGTGTTTAATTGCAAATTTCTCCTAATAAACAGGTTTTTATACCCAGTTTTGATTAACCTACACATGTTGGAGAGCTATATCCCCATATATCTTGCCTTCCGTGTGTTCTTTTGACCAGTATATGCATTTCCCTACAAATTTTATCTTTATATGCATTTTTGTAAACATTACTTGGGTGCGGAGAGGCATTGCAAAATTCAGATCAATGTGAATTCCAATGGATGGCTATTTTTCAGTTTGTGTATTGTTCCAGCAAGTACAAGTTGGGTAGGTTTGCCTTTAAATGCAAACTGAACCAAGTTTCTCCTCAATTCTTGGTAATGAAGCTGGTTTCAGACTCCTTTCTTCGCCTTTCCTTCTTAACCTCTGATTTAGGAGTTGAGTTTCTTTTAAACATACCAGTCCCAGCTGGTCTGCGCACTCTTGGTTATATCTGAGCATCTGGGGGCCCCCTCCCACTAAAGTAATGTAGCAATATAATCAGAACTTCATTTTAATTTCAGATTCTTTCACTTGGTCCCTCAGGTACTGGTGACTCAGAGGGGAATCTCATGAAATATGAAGAGGGAACATGCAAAGGCTTTCACAGAATAAACATTTATTATTTTCTGACAAAACTGCACGCAGGCAAGTTTGGTAGCAGGGGAATAAGAAGAGAACAGCCTCTACCCTGAAGAGAGTTGTGTTGGGAGGATCAAACTCCTGCTCTGACAGGGCTGTGAGGAAAAACCCTCACAAAGAGGATTTCGATTAAACCCTGCTGGTTCGCCAACCTGAAGCTCATGCTTCAATTTTGGGGGGCAAGGAGTGACAAGTATTACTATGACTGAGAACTGTGAGAGTGCATAGTTCCCTGGAAGTAACTCTTGTGGCTTTGAGCCACAAGAATTTATAGGATTTATTTGTCAGTGCAGACTTTTACAGAATTGGATTAAGTTTCCAAGATCTGCTACATTAGCCACTTGAATTTTTATTATTATCCTGAATTCAAGGCAAGGTGAGCCACAAACAGGGAGTATGAGAGAGCTGGTGAGGACTACTATTACTACCCTTGCCCATCTGGCCGGGCCTTCCCAGCTACTCTGGGCAGCTTCCAACAGGATATTAAGAACACAATAAAACATAAAACTTTAAAAACTTCCCTAAACAGGGCTGCCTTCAGATGTCTTCTAAAAGTCAGATAGTTGTTTATTTCCTTGACATCTAATGGGAGGGCGTTCCACAGGGCAGTGCCACTACTGAGAAGGCCCTCTGCCTGGTTCAGAATGCAGATTGAGATATTGCTTCATGCCCAATCAGTGTGTCCATTGTTTTCTGCTGAAATTCTGTAACCTTTTTGTACGTGAACTTTCCAGTGTTGTGTGTGTGTGTGTGTGTGTGTGTGTGTGTGTGAGAGAGAGAGAGAGAGAGACAGACAGACAGACACTGTGTGCCTCCCACTTTGGTTCCATGGTAGTGCTAGTCTTCTTCTTTAACGATCACTTGTAGCTGAGTAAGATTGTTTTCTATAAACACGGTTTTAGCAGTGAGTCCGTAAGTGACTGTGGAGGCCAATTCTGGATCCACAAATCCTTCCATAGTGGGGACATAGGTTCCCGGGTGGGAGTTGATCACAGTGTGGATTTGCCAAGCGTGCCTTCCTCTTAGTGTATTTCTCCCTTTCCTCCTAAGTTTGAGCATCTTGAGAACCCATGGCACCTTTGGGAAAGGCTGCTCTCCAATCGGAGCACTCGCAGGCCAGTGTTTCCCAGTTGTCAATATTTATACTACATTTTTTTGAGATTTGCCTGTCTTTGAACCTCTTCTGTTGACCACCAGCACTACACTTTCCATTTTTAAGTTCAGAATAGAGTAGTTGCTTTGGAAGACGATAATCAGGCATCCACACAACATGACCAGTCCAACGAAGTTGATATTGAAGAATCATTGCTACGACACTAGTGATCTCTGCTTCTTCCAGTACACTGGCATTAGTTCACCTGTCTTCCCAAGTGATGTGTAACATTTTTCGTAGACACAATTGATGGAATCTTTTAAGGAGTTGGAGATGGCGTTTATAAGTGGTCCACATTTCACAAGCACAGTAAGGTTGGTAGTACCAATAATGTGGTAACATTGGGGATGCAGCATAAAACAACTAATAAAGTAGAATGAAGTGTGGACAGTCCAGTATATATCCAGCACTAATGCACTATTATTGCATCAATGACATGTTGTGGAAGACAAACAAAGACAGAAAACCCCACCAGTTGGGAGGGTCTCCAAGTTGACGAAGTAATGAAAACATGAAACCCTCCTTTTCTTTCAGTGGACGCAGAGTTCCCACCCAAAACACTGGGTTCTCTTTTTATATAGTGGTTGCTTTACTAGATGTGAGGTCTTCCAAGCTGCTGTGTAATATAAATGTTTAACAAGACTTAACGATATGGCGCTAAATGTACTGGAATAAGCACGAGCGAGGTCTAGTCCCTACCATCACACCTCAGTAATGTTAACAGGCATTTAGCAACAAATTGGGCCTTTTCACAGATGTTCACAGGAAGAGGTGAGGCTGCTATGATCTAGCAGCTTCTTTCTAAAGAGGAACACCAGCGTAATGGATTTCTGTTCGGGCAATTGCAGATTTGCAAGAATCAAAGGCTGTGTCACTCCCTGTTCCCACCGGGAATGGCAAAGCCAGAATTGCTACCCAGCAGGTCAGTCACACTTTTAACATGACAGCATTTCGGTCTCCACTGTCAAAAATCAGTGAGTGTTACAAAGAAGAATCTGATGTATAAATTACAGCTGCCCTCGGGCAAGTTGCAGAACTGCAGTAGATGGCATTGAGTTGTCAGCCCACTGCTGGTGCTTCTCACTGTGACAAACCTTCACCAAAAAAGAAGAATGGGGGCTGGGAGAAACCACCTGGATGCTTGTTGCTGAACTTATTTTCATCCCATAAAAGGAGTGCATCTGCAGGTCACACGCTAGAAATAGATGCAAATAAAGACCCCTGAAACACATTTGGCTCACAGGCTGGGCCCTGTATTTTCACACACTTTTCAGTCAAGGAACACAGGAAAAGTTCACATAGGAAGGCTGAATATTGTAGCCATGAACCAAAGTGCACATTTCGACGCACTTCCGTGATAAATATTGCATATAAAGAGGTATATATTCATATAGAGTGGTACCTCGGGTTACAGACGCTTCAGGTTACAGACTCCGCTAACCCAGAAATATTACCTCGGGTTAAGAACTTTGCTTCAGGATGAGAACAGAAATCGCGCGGTGGCAGTGGGAGGCCCCATTAGCTAAAGTGGTACCTCAGGTTAAGAACAGTTTCAGTTTAAGAACGGACCTCCAGAACGAATTAAGTTCTTAACCCGACGTAACACTGTAATGTATTTTCTCCCTTTACACAGTCAGAGGCGGAGAAAGCTGCTCTGGTACCCAGAGCGGTGCCCACGGGGGAGGGGCTAGCTGCCCGCGGCAAGCGTCCGGGGGGGCCGCCGGCCACGACTGGTGTCCCGGGGTTGCACCGGCTGTGGCAAGTGTCAGGGGCAGCGGCGATGTCACCCCCTTCAGGGATGACACCTGGAGCGGCCTGTACCCCCGCACCCCCTTTCTCCGCCAGTGTACACAGTTATGTGTTTTGTTCTCCCCATCACTTTTTGTATCACGTTACTGCTTTATATTTGAAAAAATATCAATAAAATATCAATTATTGGGGGGGGGAGATTGCAGATTGAATTCATCTCCGCTAGGTGCTGCAGGTATCAGGCAACAGGCAACAGGCAACAAGGTTTGGAGGACAAAGAAACAAAAGCTGATTTCCCTTTCTTTCTTTTTTTTTTGAAAAGCACAAACAGCTGGGTGTGTGTTTTAATGGAGAATCAGCTTCCACCCAGGAAGGCATTTGAAACAAGCCTTTATTAGTTTTGTCACAGGCACCTAAGCAAAACTCTATGGCATTAATTCCTTGCTTATAAGAAAGGCAAGCTAAAGAAGCAGACTCGCTTCTTCAAAAAAACCTAGGAGGGAGACATTCCTCTCTGTGTGAAGTAATGGCTCTGTTCCTGATGTTGTAGGTACAACAAACTATAATTAACGCGTGAGAAATTAGAGTGGGTTTGGAGAACAATGGCTTCTGTTTTACTGTTGCACAGTCTCAGCATAATTAAAAATAAGCGTCTAAGTGTTATTTGCTCTCTTCTTGGCTGCCAAACTTGTTTGTTTAGAGATGAAGGAGTTGGGGGTAGGAAGACGCTGTTGGGATCTGTTTGCCTGCTGCAAAGGAAAACCCAGATTGGAAAGAACAGATATGTAAATGAGCAAGACGCAGAGCGATGTGCGACTGTGAATGTAATCCCCACCTGAGCTGCCTTGGAAGCGTTTGAAGAGTCAGGTTGCTTTGGGCACTTCAGGTTTGAGGGAGTGGGGCAGTTACCACACTTGTTCCAACTTGTACATTTGCCTGAGGGAACAGCCGGTGTAGTTCTTCCCTTGCCTTTAAGAAACTTCAGCTAAGCTTCTGTCAGCTGTGTGTGCTCTCAGAAGAGCTGAGAAGTCAGAAACCTGGCGCACAAAGCATTGAAGTTCACACTGCCAACTCTTCAGTCAGCTTCCGTAGCTGTGCTCTTGAGTACATACCCTCCAACATTTCTCCAGTGAAACTGTTGTTGTTTAGTCGTTTAGTCGTGTCCGACTCTTCGTGACCCCCTGGACCAGAGCACGCCAGGCACTCCTGTCTTCCACTGCCTCCCGCAGTTTGGTCAAACTCATGCTGGTAGCTTTGAGAACACTGTCCAACCATCTCGTCCTCTGTTATCCCCTTCTCCTTGTGCCCTCCATCTTTCCCAGCATCAGGGTCTTTTCCAGGGAGTCTTCTCTTCTAATGAGGTGGCCAAAGTATTGGAGCCTCAGCTTCAGGATCCGTCCTTCCAGTGAGCACTCCGGGCTGATTTCCTTCAGAATGGAGAGGTTTGATCTTCTTGCAGTCCATGGGACTCTCAAGAGTCTCCTCCAGGGACATCCTATTCCATAATAATGTTTTTCCTATTTATACCCCACTCATCTGACTGGGTTGCCCCAGCCACTCTGGGTGGCTTCCAACATATATAAAAACGTAATAAAACTTTTTACATTTTTGTTAAAAAAAACCCCTTCCCTATACAAGGCTACCTTCAGATGGCTCGGGGTGTGTGTGTGTGTGTCAGATAACTCCAACATTTCTCGGATGAAAATAGGGACGTTCTAAGGGAAAGAGGGACATTCTCGGATCAAATCAGAAACCAGGACAGCTTCTGTAAATCCGGGGCTGTCCCTGGAAAACAGAGACACTAGGAGAGACTGTGAGTAGTGTGTTGTTATGACAGGGGATAATAACAGTCTCCTCCATGCTGTTTAAGAGGACTGAATTATGTGGTTTTTTTGGTTAAATGTCCCCTCTGGGGGGGGGGAGATGTTTTGCTGATGATCTGTGTCATTCACACATAGGCAATAATTTAAATTTTTTATTCCGGCCCCTGGGGCAGTGGGCTACTTGCTGATGGACTTTAATTAACAGCAGCAGTACTGTGAACAATTGTGGGCGGGGGGGGATAGAAATATAACAGTATCCATTATGTAAGAGGTGATCACACCACTGTCAGGAGAATCCAA